ATTACTCTCAATTACTTAATTTTCCTCTTACTACTGATTCGTGATTTGCAAGTTTGTATTTTGTTTTGTGTTTTATTTATCCTACAATTTTAGATAGTTTAAGTGATTATAACCAGTTTTTTCTCAATCACAACTTCCCTAATGGAGAATACAATTACTTATTCATCTCTTAATTGTTCAGAGCACATTTGTAATGCATCTTGCTGGAAAACACACTTGAGTGGCAAATTTTCTAAGAATTGCAGATTTGAAAGTGGCCTCATCTGGCCTTTTAAAATAATTAGCCCTGGGCTAAAGATCTAATGTTTGAGTCTCTATCTACTAGAGATGTGTGAAGTTGCAAGTAACACAAATTGCAGTCACAGGAGTCTATTTTCCTCATGCAGCAAGAAGTCTAGAGGTATGTGGTTGCTAGCTTTGGCTCAGACGCCAATGTGGTGCTACAGCTCCAGCCCTCACGTCTGTGGTAGGCAGAATATTGGTCCTAAAGATGTCCATGTCCTAAGCATTGGGAACTCTTGATATGCTCATTTACATGGCAAAGGAAAATGAAGTTGCTAATCAGCTAAACTTGAGATGAGGAGATTACCCTGGATTATCCATGCAGGCCAGACATAATCACGGAAGTCCTTAAAAGTGGAAGAAGGAGACAGAGACAGTGAGAGGAACGGCAGCAGAAGGACTTAGTCGACGTTGGATTTGAAGACGAAGACCTCAAACTAAGAAATACAGTGGCTTCCAAGAACCACACTGGGAAAAGTGAGGAAACGGATCCTCCTTCGTGACTCCAAAAGGAACACAGCCCTACCAACATCTAGATTTCACCCCACGGAGGTCCACCTCTGACTTCTAACCTTCAGAAATGTAAGATAATAAGTATGTGTTGTTTTCAGCCACTAAGTTTTTTTCTGGCATTGACAGAAAACCAATACAATGTTCATGTTTATTTCAAAGCAAGACAGGGAAGAATGGGGCGTGCCAGGGAATTTTATTATTGCAGGGTATTCTAAGTTTAAATTTAGAATTCCCTGGCCAATTTTCATGTTTTTAATAGAGACAGTGTTTCACCATATTGGCCAGGCTACTGTCAAACTCCTGGTGATCCACTTGCCTCGGCCTCCCAAAGTACTGGGATTACAAGTGTGAGCCATTGTGCCCTGCCTGACTGTTGTATTTTTCCCCCACTCCCTTTTTATCTCAACCTTTTAATATAGCTTCCACATCCGCTTTTATCTAATAAAGTGAACTCTTTTCCTTTGAACTCTTACATCTTCGTTCCTTTTCTACTTTGCTTCAGATTCTTAAAAAATCTCAAGTGTTGTTGCTGTTTCCTCATTCTTGATGTTGACTGGTTCCACTTTTTTGGTGGTGCTTTAAGTTCTGATGGGATAGATTCTCAGAATCCATATGAATGTAGAGAGAGATGTATACTGTAAGAAAAGAGAATATGAGAACCAGGAAATGTGTTCAGCCACATCTACAAGTAGAAGGCAGATCTCGTAGAAATGCAGGCCACCCTTTCAGTTCAGGAAATGCAAATGTTTTCAGAGAGCACTATCTGGAGGCGAAATCCAGAAAAAAGACTTCGTCCTATTGGAAGAGCAGACCAAGGGACTGTCTACTGCACGTCATAGATCATCCCATCTCCTATATGCATATGCACCTGAATCAAAACGATACAGACCAGGAAAGGAGCAGGGAATGGTGTGGAGTGTTGATCAATTCTGCTCTGCATATGAGGAGAATGTTTTCAAGTTCTATTGTTTGTATGGGTAACTGCAAATGATTTGTTATTTTTCTTTTGAGATCGTGTCATGGTTATTTCAGAAAAAAGAGACTCCTAGCATTTCCCTTCACTCCACTAACTTCCTGGGAACCATCTGTGAGCATTAAACCTATGCAAAGACAATGGTCTGGGGGAAAATACCAGCAAGTATCTCCTATATAAAGAAGATGGAGATCTTTGTTGATTGCTGGGAAAAATGTAGATTACCATGATCATTTTATCTCATTTGTGGTAGAGGCTGCTGGTTGTCTGGCTAATACTCTTTCTTTCTTCCTCTCTTACATCTAACAGCTTTAATTTTATTTTTTACAGCATGTATTTTGCAGGTTTCAAGCAGGTAGGGTTGGTCATGTGACACTGTCCTGGACAATAATAATAAGTCCCTGAATGGATCTTCCAGAAAGGTTCTTTGAACAGTGCCAACTCAGCTGGATGCAGCGCTTTAATCCTGTTCCCTTCTTTTCCTTGCCTGAAATTTGTGGACATTATAACTGGAGCTCTGCCTAAAATGTTGACAATCTGAGAACAAGCCCTCATCCTAAAGTTGGAGTCTTATTGATTTAGGACCTTCATAGTATTTCTATGTTATCTAGTTTGTTTAAACCACTGTTGTACAACTTTTCTATTGCATATAGCTGAAGTCAACCCCTAACTGAGAGAAGAGCCATCCTCTTTCTCTTGGAGGCACTAATATCTCTGAATATCTTTTTATTGTTGCATGGTTAAAGTAATATCAAAGTGTACGACTATGATGGGTAAACTTTAATACCACCGTGAAGGATATCCACTACCCTTAAACCAGTAACATAGGTGAATTCTTGAACACTCTAGAAGTTTCTGAACAGAAAACAATAAAAGCTTTAGTTGTACAAATAGGCATTGGACACTTCCATTGGTAAAACATTTGGAGACTAGACTCCAGCTTTTCAGAGGTGGAATTGCACTTAGAGGCCACAAACCTCAAGACAGTTCACTGAAGGCCTGAGTCCTGTGAGGTAATGCATTGAGAGCTATAAGTAATGTTTGAGCTATAGAACAAGAATAAGGAATAAGAGATCAGGGGCTCAGGAATAAGAAATAAGAGATCGGGGGCTCAGGAGACTCCTTTATTGCCTTTTACTTATCAGTAGAATTATTTGTAAAGCTCTTTGTTTATGACAACATCAGCTTATATGAGCTGTTCTAAGGGGAAATAAGAAGCAAATTGCACATCCTAGGAGAATGATAGATATTAAAGAGAGAAAAGTCCAAGAAGGAGGCAAAAACTCAGAAAAAAATGAGGCAGAATCAATCTTGGAGCCTTCCTATCCCACCTGGAGTTTTCTACTCAGCAGTTCCTTTTGGCTCCAAAATTACAGAATAGATTGTCGTGTGCCAGAAATGATGAATTCTGTGAGCCATAAACTTCATTAGGTCCTGCCTATTAGCACAGAACAAGATATATATATATATCTTGTATATATATGTATATATACATTTTATATATATATATATACACACACACACACACACACACACATATATATATATATATATATATATATATAGAGAGAGAGAGAGAGAGAGAGAGTCAATCTCACTCTGTCGCCCAGGCTAGAGTACAGTGGCACAATCTTGGCTCACTGCCACCTCCACCTCCCGGGTTCAAGCAATTCTCCCACCTTGGCCTCCTGCGTATTTGGGACTACAGGCGCACTTGGCTAGTTGTTGTATTGTTTGGTAGAGATGGGGTTTCACCATGTTGGCCAGGCTGGTCTCGAACTCCTGACCTCAAGTGATCCTCTAGCCTTGGCCTCCCAAAGTGCCAATATTACAAGCATGAGCCACCATGACCAGCCACATAGCAAAAGTGTAAACATTATTTTTTATTGATTCGTTCTATAACACTTCTAAGCACCTAGAGTGTGCCAGGCACTGAACAAATTATAGCAAAAATGTATGTTCAACTTCGAAAAGGAATTCATTACTTTGGTTTTTAATAGCTGCAGGTTGCAGCATACTTTAACAAGGTATTCTATGCTATCAACCTACCATTAAAACTTGGTTTGATAAGACATAGGTAATTATGATGCAAAGCTGACTAATCACAAATTTAAACCTCTTTGCCTGCTGAGTACGACACTTCCTACGAAAACTAGATATCTCTCAAATTTTATTAACAAGACGAATACAACGAATTACATAAGCCTTGAGCAGCAAAAACGTCATTTCATATTATAGTCGCCTAATATGAGATAATATCATGCAATAGAAAAGAATGCAGATATTTTTATTGTATGTCAATACAGGATATGTTGCAAATTACTACAGGAATTTCTGGGTTTTATAAAGTAACAAATGTGGTTTGATTGTGTCGATATTTTTAACATATTTAGTTATGTGCCTTATTTGTTTTAATTTTTCAATATAACCATAGATGTCTAGCAATCAGGCATGTTAATTTATGAGTTATGTAATTCCACAAATAATGCAAATTTCTTCGCAGAAGTCTGAAAGCCTTGGCGATAACTAATCAGAAAATGAAGGAAGCCCTCCGCCACTGAGTCCAGGGCAAAGGGAAGAGACAAGATAAAGCTGACCCGTCAGTACAGGTGGAATTAATGACGACCAAATGCAGAATCATTAAACATTATCAGGCTTACTTATTGACTCCTGATATTAAGGGTGAACAACCGTCTCGCCAAGTGAGAACTTGTTACAGTAGCCTTTATCTTTCTATCACTCATTCACTCAATCCATTAAAGCCTGTTTGTCTCTTCCAGGTGACTCTTAATGAGTTTCATTGTTTTGTTTACTGTGTTTGTTGGCTCATAGATCTCTTTCACAATTTTCTTCGGCTTCGGAATGCTCTTTAAGTACCAGTTTTGATCAGCCCATTTGCAGCTAGTGCTTTAATAAACAGGTCTTTGAATAAATGAAAGAAGTGGGAAAGCAAGATGGGACAGGGCCACACGAGGAGAAAAGGGGCCAAAGGGAATGGCACGGGCTGCCTGTGTTCCCTGGAAAAGCCAGCAGGTGGTAGCAACACTTCGTGAGAAGGCCCCAGCCCATCTCCGTGGGACCCAAACAATAGACCCCAAATCCTGTCCTCGGCTAGAGAAGGGTTTACGGGTGGGCGGGGACATTTTTCCTCGTGGCGCCCCCCTCGGTTCCTCAGCCCTGCCTCCAGGCGCCAGCTGAGAGCACCTTGCACCGCCCCTCCTCACCGCAGGGAGGTTCTCTCCCGAGCGCGGGCGAGGGAGGAGGCACGCAGAGGTGCAGCGACTTGCCCAGCCTTGTCAGCGCCAGGCGCGCAGCAGACTTCCCCTTTTCAACCCGACTGCCCTGCCCCTTGGGGAGGGTGGATGGAGAGAGGTTCGACTCAGAAGCCTCAACGCTGACCACGATCCAGACACGAAAAGAGAGAAGAGTTCCAGGCTAGCACGGCGTCGCGTTCTTACCCAAACGCCCCCCTCTCCCGCTGCCTCGGCTCCCCCCGCCACCGCCCGTGCTCGCCCAGATTTCTCAGTTTGTCTTTCCCTCCACCCCCTGCTTTTCCTTCCTTCTCCCTTGCTCAGCTCACGCCCACCTTAGTTCAAAGCTGAGTAGAAGCACCACTGTTTTAGTTCCTAGAGTTAAAGCCGGAGAGGAGGGAGGAGCGAGGGGGTGTGCGCGGGGCTCTGCCCTGCCCAGGACTGCCGCGGTCCGCCGGTTGCGCTTCGCTCCACGGGTGTCCGACCGGGGCCGGAGCCTGAGCCCGGGGGCTTTACAGACAGACGCTTCACTTCCCGCCTTTTGCAGGCGCCCCACGCGTGCGATCCTCACGGACCAGACCCGCGGGAGGAGTCTGCCCCCTCCCCGGCGCACAGGCGGGGCCCCGGGCGCGCCCCGCGTCTCCCCCGCGCGCCGGGGCGGAGGAGCGGGCGCCGCGCGGCAGTCGCCTAGGCCGGGAGGGCGGGCTCGGCTCCCCGGAAGAGGGGAGTGGGAAGGAGGCCGAGGGGGTAGGAGGGGCGGGTCGGGCTGGGAGGGGACGCGGAGGGGGCGGGCCGGGCTGCGCTGGCTCCAGCCGCGGCTCTAGAGCAGCGGGCGGCGGGACCCGGGACCCAGCTTGGCGACGGCGATCGCGACGCGGGCCCCCAGGATCTCCCGGCGCCCCACCTCTGGAGCAACCCCTGCCGCCAGCGCTAGGTCCGTCCCGGAATCCCAGGGACTCGCGGCGCCGAACGGACCCGGGCCGGGGGTAGCGGGGTCCCCGGACTGGAGAAGACGCGGGTGGCACCTTGCGAGCTCCAGGAGCCCCGGCTCCACTGAGAGGCCTCGGGGCGCAGACCTGCAGAGACTGCGGCCAACGGGAAGGTGAGCCCGGGGAATTTGCAGGCGGCAATGTGGGGGTCAGGGGCAGTATGCTTGGGGACAGAGAAATTAAGGTTTGCAAAGGTAAAGGGGCTGCCCAGCCCCTAGGTGGCTTCCTGGGGGAGTACAGAGGATCCTTCCCCAAGGCCATAGTGGGGTTCATTAAGGATGAGGAACCGGTCAACCTGGCTACCCTTCACCGCTGGTCTCGCTCCACTCTGATCAGGCATCACTGACACCCCATCACTCTTGCTGTTTGGATCCCCCAGTTGCATTCCCAGAAACCCTCCTCTGGCTCTGGCTTGGGAGTCCCAATCTGGGAGGGTCCTCGCAGAGTCTGAGCTCCCAGCTTGGAACAGGATTGCCACCTCTCTGACTCCAGTGGCATCACTCCAATTCCTTTGGAGCTGGGAGGAGCCAGGAGTCTGACCACACACCTGTCCCCAGCTCCCGACAAGGCACTCTCCCCACCCAGCCCCTTGACCACCGTTTAGCACTGGATGTGGAAGGAAGGCTTGGTCCCTGCTGCGCAGCCATCACCCCCAACGTGCAACCAAAGTCTACTGCGTGCTCCTGCCCCAGCTCCATCCCTCGCCCTGCTCCCTCCATCTGGGTGCTTGGCCCTGCTTGCCCCACACCCCCACCCACCGATCTTGGCCGTCTGGCACCCTCTCTCCTCCCATCCCTGGGGGAGCTGGCATGGACCCGGCATAGAATGTTGTAATGTCCCTGGCAGTGCCCATGGAGCGGAGCGGCTGGGCCTGTTCCCAATCAGTTAACCCAGGCTCTCCACCCTCCAGGGGAACTTGACTCAGGCACTAGGAGGGGAGATGCTGGTCCTGAGCTGAGAAGCCAGTGGGAGGGAACTGTGGGGGTCTCTTAGTAGACCACAGAAGCTGCCCAAGTTATGGAGCATTGGAGCACTGAGGCGTCTGAGTGCTGCTCAGGGGGCATTTGGCTTTTTCAGGGCAATGGGCCTTTTTTTCTCAAAGGAAGATGAGGGTGGGGGTGCCTATGTACTTACCTGGTGGCCTTAGAAGGAGGACTTGTTTGGAGCCTATTGCTCCATTCAGGGTGCAAGAAGATGGCTGGCAGTGACGCTGAGTTACCAGAATGCTGGGGAGCAACAGGCTGGGGTGGGCTGAGCATGGGAAAGGCAGGATCCTCCTTCTGGGACAACTGTTCTCCCAGCCATCATCCTTTCCTGAGCCTGGGCCCTAGACTCTGAGTTCCCACCCCACTCTCCACTCCAGGTGGAAGGAGGATGGCAGGTTCTGGAGGGTTTGGGAAGCCTCAGGTTTCCCTTTCTTTCCCTCTCTGCTTGGCTCCCTCTCCCAGCCCAGGTGTTTCTGCAGAAGCACCTCCTGGGGCCAAGAGCAACTCACAGGCAGACTAGGGGTAGAGCAGGGGCCAAGAGTGAGGAAGAAGGGCCCGTGGGACCACTCCGGATCCAGCATTGATGCGCATCTTCTGCCACAGGAAAGCACCCCCTTCGACACAGACAGCATCTACTCCCGCCCACCTCACCTCCTCCACATTCCCATACACACTTCGCTAGGTAGACACATCCTCAGGCACTGCTGACGCGAGTGCTACTCCTGGCACTCAGGGGCCTTTTTCCACAACCTTCCACTTACTCATCTCTCAGGCACATTTGCCTCCTGCCCCTACACCCTCCCTTATGCTCTTTTCCAGAGCCACGCATGTCCCCCGTCAGTGCACAGAGTGGCTCATTCTAAGTGGCTGTCTGGCTAGACCTAGACACTGCCTGCATCTTAAAAGCCTCCCCCAGTTCCACAGTCTGGGAGTGGGAGGCACATTTGTCTGAGTCACAGTGCTCTGGGGGACATTCTCAGGGACTAGAGGCCTCCAGGGACACAGGACTGTCCTCTGCTAGGTAATCTACACATTGGCTTCTCCAACCAGGGCAGCAGGGGATAGAAGAGCCGGAGGACAGCCACCTCCTCACTGTCTGTCCTGGATGCCTCCATAAAGCCTGATGATGGGATCCTTCTCAAGGCAGGAGGCCAGATCACGAAGAGATCTCCAAGGTGGAGATTAAAGGATAGAGGCTGCAGCATTAAGCTGAACAAGGATTATGCTGGAATTTCCTGGGCATTTAACAGCTGTGGAACAGGATGGGGGGCAGGGCCTGTGGTGCTGACCCCTCCCACGTTGACCTGGTGGCTCACAGGTGTAAGGACCAGCCCAGCAACCACTCCAGACATAAAATCTCAAGCCCTCTTGCCCTTGAGACTGTCCTGTCCCTGCTGGACTCTGCAGCCTGCTTTGTCTCACAAAACTGTTCCTGTCTCGGCTCACTTTGGGACCATGCCCCTTACTATGTGTTCCCAGTGGACAGTCCCCTGGGTTCCCCTCTGTCCCTTCATCGTCTCAGCCCTTTGCTTGACACGTTGAGGAGAAGCATGCATGATGCCAGCAGCGGGACAGTAGGAACTTCTTGGGGGAGAAGCTTAAAGTCTAGCCAGGCATAAACATTATTTTGCTTTTCTTGTTGGCACGATTTCACTCACTCATTCTCAGCCCCTACTGTATCTCCATCTCTACCTTCTTCTTATCAACATTTCTGGATATTTTGAAACCTAGAAGGGAAAGGGTGTAGAGAGTGAATAAAATGTAGACATATGCTCATTTGTCTAGGTTTGACAAATATTTTTCTTTTTTGTTTAGATTTTAATTATGAGATTGTATGTTAATTATAAAAGTAAGGTATGCTTACTGTAACAAGAAAAATAATTGAATTATATATGACAAAATTAATGCCCCCACCTACAATCCTTCATTTCCACCTCCCACAGTAACCCATTTTAATGGCCTAATATGCCTTCTGCCTACCTTCCTCTAAGTTTATTTGGCTTACATTACTTAATCTTTAAAAATTCACTTTGTGGATTGAGGTGCATAAACTATATTAAGTAAGCTTGATTTGCTCATGAAAGTATCATATTTAGCATTTAATTGGAGCACGGTTAATTTTTTAAATTCTTACCGATTTACCAATTTAATTTACTTTTAAATCTTTCATTTTTATAATAACATAACTCATAAGCTATGCTTGGTAATCAAAGCTCCTACAAACCTTTAATTTTGGCCAGTTTCTGAAAGCAAAACACAACCTTGATACCTAAGAAACTGTCTTATTTTTGTAAACCAAAGAGATGTAGCAGGCTCGTGGACCCATTATCCCTACTGTATCAAAAAGATGTGAAATGATATATCTATAACAGAAGCTGAGAAAATACTATAAAGTCATAGACTGCAATTTTTGTTACCTAAAACTTTGTCTAATTTGCCTCATTTTCTCCACCATTATTTATGTTCACATTTCTGCCGCTTCTGGTTTTGTATTTTGAAAACCTTCTACACATCTGAAATGTGAATGTTTTTCTAAAGGAGAGAAGTTCTTTTGCATATCCTCGTGTTAGAGAATGTCTAAATACTGACCAGTTCCTTTCGTGAGTTGAAGGAAAGAGGAATCTGAAGCAGGCTGTGAGAGAAGAGCGAGGGGCCTGGCCTTGCAGACGCTGCTTCCCGTCTCTGTGGCAGGAGAGATGTACTGGCCTGTGCCTGAGATGCTCCGGACCCAATGCAGAAGGTGCTCCATGCCCATAACCATTGAAGACACCTTTAAAAAAATCAGGTTCTGAGTCCAGCTTGCTTAGTATTCCAGGCATGTGGAACAGCCGTGTTCTTGTCACTTATGTTTCTGCCTTTGAAATTGGCTTCAAAAGAATCTGCAGTGGTATGAAATTGCTGACAGCAATTTATTCCATGTCTTAATAAAATTTCCCTTTTCTTTATTTGGATTCCTGCAACAGGGATACACCCATTTTTTAATATATTAAAAACATAAAAGTCTTGAATTCATCTGGTTTGTTTGAGAAGCAAGAACTCACCTAACTTCCTTGTCTGACTCAGCAACATTTTTTTTTTTTCTGAAAAGATTTGTTTATAATCTTTAGTCTTCTGGAGCTGAATATAAAAGAGTCTCATCAAACATTAGAAGTATCCTTCTGGGTACTTTTAAGATCCTCAACCATTTCTTTTTAATGAATATCTTTGTTCTTAGTAAAATTTCAAAAAAATTACTGAAGTGGCCATCCACAGGCAGTGTCTCCATTTTCTTCTTTTCTTTATGCTGCTTCTTGACAGCAGAAGCTGAGTGGCCTTAACATGCACATTTCATAATTGCTTTTGCTCTTTTCTGGATCTTCTGGAGGGAAGCCAGCTTCATGTTGTCATTACGAGGCATGCTAAGCCTATGCAAGCACGCCCTATTGCAGCCACAAGTCACTGTGTTCCTTGTAGTTCGGGTCATCAAAGCAGATATCTTGCTATTTATCTTCCAGAGTGTTCCACATTGGACAGCTGATATTATCTGCAGTGGATCTTCTCTATCTTGCTCGTCTGTCTTTCAAAATAATTCGTTGAAATATTTCCAAAATATTTATTATTCCTTCTCCATGATTATTTGTCTAGTTGTAAGCTTGGGAAGACACAGGGCTTATTGTTTCTTCTTTGTACAGATTACAGAATCCATCTATGTTCAGACCAAAAGAAAGGGACTATTTTAAAGAATAACTTCTGGGCGAATGGTAAAATAGCCTTCATTGTTTAAAAACTTGCTGCCGGCATTTTCTGTCCCTGATAACAGTGTTTCTAAGGACTCTGTGACTCTGGTTTGCTTCAGTGTGTCAAGCACGTCACCAAATTAAGCCATTGAGAGTTTGAGGGGGTGCACTTACAACATGAATTACTTCAGGATATTTATTAAACAGCCATTGGTGATGGTGCCAGGGTTACAGAATTTGATAGCTATGTGTACTTTTTATTGCGTGATCTCCCCATTCTTCTGCAAAGCATGTATTTCATCTGTGAAGGATCCTAGTAGCATTTCAGACAGTATCTGCAAAGAACGTTACTTAAGAGCAATTTGCCATATGGAAATGCTCCTTACTTGTCTTCATAGGCTGTAAACTGAACTCTCTGTTTCACAAATGGGGTTAAAGATGTACAAAAGGTGAGTTTCAAGGGCAAATTGGCAGGTGTCCATGCTGATCAGCCCACACGTATGTAAAAACGGTGTCTCTCCATGATAACTTCACAGACAGCACAGCCAGAAAAACAATCAGTAGGAATCAAATTTTGATTTTCACGTTTGTCACAGTTAAATAAAGTTTCATAGTTTGTTTTTAGTTTTATCATAGTTTTCAACAATCACAAGGCCATGTAGATCCAGGAAAAACAATTCACAACTTCTAATTGGCTTTTTTTTTTTTCCTTTTAGCTCTATGTCTTTTTAGCAATCTGGACAACATGCCTCTTTTTCTTCTCCACAGAAATAAAGAGATTGTACTGCTCTAGTCCACCCGATTCACGGACTTCTGAGACTCAGTCAGAGGAGAGACAGAGAACCACCAGTCTCTAGATCAATACGCAAAGGTGGTGCCAAAGCTGTTTGTCTTCATTGTGACACTGGAGGTAGCTATTCCCTCTGTTCTTTTGCTCTTCAGCTCAGTGGCGTGCCTTCTGAAGGCACAGAAAGGTTTTACATAAGAGGTAGCTTACTGCATAGTTCTGAGACGCCATTATGAGGGTGTGAGCACTATTTTGATTAACTTTACTAAACAGTTATTATCCTATAGTTTTAAAGAAAATTTTAATGATTTAGTTGAAAAAATAATACATATGCAAGAGTTTAACAATGCAAAAATTAAAACTGATACAATTAAAGAGACTACAACAAAAGTAAGTCTCCCTTGACTGGGTCTCAGTCTACTTCGTTTGCCATTTTTCACAGATTTTGGATGTTCTTCCATCGATCCTTCCATATATATGTATGTGTATATATCCTTAACAAATGGGAGCTGACTTCACACTGTTCTCCACTGTCCCACTTTCACTTGGAACTGATTTTCATATCAGTCCATAAACAGTTGTCCATATTTCTTTCTACGAATATATCATAATTTTTAACCATCTTACAATTGATGGACACTTAGTTTACAGCCTTTTCTCTTATAAACAGTTTGCAATTAATGTCTTCGTTCAAGCATCTGTGCAAACCCATACAAATACACAGTACCTGCAGGACGAATTCTTACATTGTAGCTGCTGGGAAGATGTTACCCCATTGTCCTCCCAAGAGAATATTGCAATTTGAACTCAAGCAGAGTATGTACAAGAGAATCGATTTCCCATGCCTTCTCCAACATGGTACAGATGGTGTCTTAGGCATCTGTGGCTGCCATGACAAAGTGCAATAGACCAAGTAGCTTATGCACAGTAGAAATATCTTTCTCACAGTCTGGATACTGGAAAGTCCAGGATCAGGGTGCCGGCATGCTCAGCTCCTGGCAAAAGCTCTCTTCTAGACCTCTTCTTTTCTTCTTCTTCTTCTTCTTCTTCTTCTTTCTTCTTCTTCTTCTTTCTTCTTCTTCTTCTTCTTCTTCTTCTTCTTTCTTCTTCTTCTTCTTCTTCTTCTTCTTCTTTCTTCTTCTTCTTCTT